TCCTCCTCCTCCTCCTCTCCCTTCTCGTGCGCTCCTCCGCGGTCGTCCCAGTAACGCGGCACGCCCGCCTTGCAGACAACAGGGGATCCGCCGGCCTCCACGCCATCCTCGTAGCAAAAAAAGCGAGGCAGAGTGATCGGGGCGTCGGCGCATGATCCAAAGGTTGGTGCAAAGTGCACTTCGCAATGCTTTTTGCAAGGGGTGGGTGGGGGCCTTGGCGCTCCATGCATCTGGCAGCATGCCAGCGTGTCAGAAACCTATGCGGAGTGATCGCGGGGCGTCCGCGCATCGTCCAGATCTTGGTGCAAAGTGCATGAGAGTTTTTTGTGGTGCGAGGGATGATGATGATGATGATGATGATGATGATGATGATGATGATGATGATGATGATGATGATGATGATGATGATGATGATGATGATGATGATGATGATGATGATGGTGGGGAGGCTTGGTATTGCGCACAGCAAGCAGTATGCCAGCAACCCCGCCGCCCCTCTCAACACACAACTTTAGAGTTGATCGCGGGGCGCGCGCACGAAGAACCGGTGTTGGCGAAGCGTGCATTCCATAGTTGTGTTGGGACAGGGGTGGCGGGGGAGTGTTGTCATGGTCCCGGGTTTGTCGCCAGTCGTGTGGGGGAGCGGGTGCGTACCCAGCAGGAGCGGTGATAAACCCTTCCCCGACCGCGAAAAGGGGGGGATTGGAAGAGAAGATGTCTCAGTTCACTCATGCCCAGGGGGCAAGTGGGACTCAAGTCGTCAGATGTCTGGGAGGATGCAGGGCCTCCGCGAAGGGTAGCCCTGCATCCTTGCCTCCTCGACGTGTCCTCGGCCAATCTTGGCGACGCTTCGGGCTGCGCCAGGCAGCTCCCCCAGGCAGCCCCGGCTGGCCTCAACAGCCCCCCCCCCCCGAGTAGCTCAGGGCGTTCTCAATGCCTGGGCGCCGCCTCAAGCGGCGCCCCAGGGCGCTCCGCACCCGAAGGTTTGGGTGTTGAGACGGCCCTGGGCGACTCGGAGTGCCTGTAAAGGCCAGCGGGGACTTCGAGGGGGGGGGGCTGGCTGCGGCGAACCCGAAGCCTCACCAGCCAATCACGTCTGCCACCCATGGCCCAGTTTGACGTATTAGGGTTTTGCATCTTCACCTTGCTTCTTTGGCCCTCTTGCCTGTGTAAGGTTTCTGCTCCTGTGTTCCACGCGGGGAGGCGTGCCGAGCCCCTGAGATCGGTGGCCCATCGTTCAGGAGGGAAAGAAACACACAGACACAATGAATCGTCGATTTCCCAGAAAATATGGGAAAATATGGGAAGTGGGGGGAAGACAAAACCCTAGAAAATATTGGAAAACATTGGATTTTGTTTTATTTGTGTGTATTTATCTGTGTGTCCCAGGGCCCCTGAGACCGGTGGCCCATCGTGGCCTCCCGTCGCGAATCGTGCAGAGCTGCCTGGGCTGTTCTGCCGCAGGGTGTCGTGTGGCTTCCAGTTCGGGGGATTTTGCTCCCGATTTCGCCCACGGGGGCCCGCTCTCGGGCACTTGGGCCAGCGAAGGCGGATCTGGGGCGCAAGCTTGGCCCCCGGGGAAGGGTCGGGGACCTTTTCCTGGGGCCGCGCGTGGAACAACGCACATCGTCGGACGTCTGGGAGGGCGGAGTGCACCTGCAGAGGGTGCACGTGGTTCATGTCGAATTCTTCGGGAATTCTTTGTTTTTTTTGTGGGGGGCCAGGATCCTTTCACTTCTACTTGTTCTGTCCTGGGCCTCTTCCTGGCCACTAGGGGGCCAGGACCAATTAGAAACGAGCACACTTAGAGATGAGCACGATTAGAAATGAACCACGTGTACCCCTGCATCCCTGCTCGCGGGTCATGTCCTCGGACCAGCTTGGTGAGGTTTCGGGCCTGCGCACAGGCAGCCCCAGCTGGCCAATACTGTACCCGGGCGCCGCATCCGGCGCTGCGCCTGGAGCACCGCGCCCGAGGGTTGGAGTGCTGATTCCGCGCAGGACTGCTCGGGGTGCCTGTTGAGGCCAGCAGGGACTACACATTGTTCATTTCTAATTCTTCAAAAGTTAGTTGATTTTTTTGGGGGTCAAGATCCTTTCATTTCTAGCCACTAGGAGGCCAGGAACAATTAGAAACGAGCACCATTAGAAATGATCACGATTAGAAATTAACGACGTGTAGTTTTGCATCCTCACCTTGCATCCTCTTCAAGCTTGGCTTAATTGCAGGCTCTTGTCGCCTCGACGTGGCGGCCGCGCTGGCGCAGGCGTTCAAGGCTGGATGCCCTCAGGCGGATCGCTTTGGGCCCTGGGGGCTTCAGGAGATAGTTCGACGGCGCGAAGTCCGTGCGAGAGATGGAGTCAAGAACCTCGAGTTTCTCCGAGGGCTGGCATCGTTCAAGTTGAAGGGTACACGCATCGTCGAAAACCAGAGCCGCGTTGTCACGGTAGAAATTTGCTGTATGTGAGCGGTGGATTTGCGATGGGTCGTGGTTTCGGGGGCGCGAATGTGGCGTAGTTTATCGTGGCCTCGGGGGCGCGAATGTAGTATAAGTTACGTGAGGTCGTGGCCTCGGGTGCGCGAACGTGGTGTAATTTATTAGGGATCGTAGCCTCGGGGGCGCGACTGGCTTGATTTACGGAGGATCGTGGCCCCAGAGGCGAGAACGTGGTTCCCCACTCAGAGCTTGCCTCTGTAAGGGTCCTAGCGGATTCATGTGGTATGGTTGGGATAGGTTTGCCGCCGATTTTCGCCGCACGCCCGGGTGCCCGTGGGTGCCCGGGGCCCTGGTGCCCACGGGTGCCCGGGTGCCCGGGTGCCCGGGTGCCTGGGCGTGCCCGGGGGTGCCCGGGGTTGCCCGGGGTTGCCCCATAGCCCGATAAGCCCTATAGCCCAATAGCCCTATAGACCTACAACTCTATAGCCCTATAGCTCTATAGCCCCATAGCTCACTAGCCCTATAGCCCTATAGCCCCCTAGCCCTATAGCCCTGATTGGTTTTTTTCTCCGGTATCATGTAATTTACGAGGGATCGTGGCCTCAGGAGCGTGACTATGGATCATTTCCCAACCATCTTGTAGTGTTGGGTCCTCGTTTTGAAGAGACAGCGCCCCGCGTTCCTCTCCTCTCCTCTCCTCTCCTCTCCTCCTCTTCCTCTCCTCTCCTCCTCCTCCTCCTCATCCTCCTCCTCCTCTCCTCCTCCTCCTCCTCCTCCTCCTCCTCCTCCTCCTCCTCCTCCCCTCCTCTCCCATCACCATCATCACCATCATCATCATCATCATCATCATCATCATCATCATCAGCATCAGCATCACATCAGCATCAGCAGCATCATCATCATCACCATCATCATCATCATCATCATCATGATCATCATCATCATCATCATCATCATCATCATCATCATCATCATCATCATCATCATCCCCTCCCTCTCCCTACACCATCGTCACCATCATCACCGTCACCCATCAATCTGCAGCATCCTCCTCATCCACATCCTCCTCATCATCGTCACCATCCTCGTCCCTACCGCCCATGTCTTCACACCCCTCACACGTTTCGTGGCCCCACAGGGAGCCCCACCTAGGGCCACAGTGGCGGTGTTCGCATGCGTCTCCCCCACCCAGGTCAGCGCTTCGTGGCCCTATAGGGAGCTCCACCGAAGGCCAGAATCGGGGTGTTCGCATGCGTCTCCCCACCCAGGACAGCGTTTCGTGGCCCCATAGGGAGCTCCACCGAAGGCCCCACTGGGGGTGTTCGCATGCGTCCCCCCCACCCAGGACAGCGCATCGTGCTCCCATTGTGAGCTTGACCGAAGGCTTCAATCGGGGTGTTCGCATGCGTCTCCCAACCCCGGACAGTATTTCGCGGCCCCAGGGAGCGTCACCGAAGGCTTCAATCGGGGTGTTCGCATGCGTCTCCCCCACCCAGGACAGCGCTTCGTGGCCCCATTGGGAGCTCCACCGAAAGCCCCAGTGGGGGTGTTCGCATGCGTCTCCCCCACCCAGGACAGCGTTTCGTGGCCCCATAGGGAGCTCCACCGAAGGCCCCACTGGGGGTGTTCGTCTCCCCCACCCAGGACAGCGTTTCGTGGCCCCATAAGGGAGCTCCACCGACGGCCAGAATCGGGGTGTTCGCATGCGTCTCCCCCACCCAGGACAACGCTTCGTGGCTCCATAGGGAGCTCCACCGAAGGCCCCACTGGGGGTGTTCGCATGCGTCTCCCCCACCCAGGACAGCGCTTCGTGGTCCCATTGTGAGCTTCACCAAAGGCCCCAGTAGGGGTGTTCGCCTGCGTCTCCCACACCCAGGACAGTAATTCGCCGCCCCAGGGAGCTTCACCGAAGGCTTCAGTCGGGGTGTTCGCATGCGTTTCGCATGCGTCTCCCCCACCCAGGACAGCATTACGTAGCCCCATCGGGAGCTTCACTGTATTTACAACTGCATATGGTTCGGTCCTTCGCCAGGATAATTTACTAGTGATCGTGACTTCGGGGACGCGAATTCATTGTAATTTGCAAGGGATCTTGGCCTCGGGGGCGCGAACACAGCGTAATGCACGAGGGATTCTGGAATTTCCCAGAGGAATTTTCAGAACCATCCCAGGGCGTGTAAAACATCCCGTTTGCGGCTCCCACCCCACGCGCGGACAGCAACAGTTAACAGTAAGGAAGCAGGAAGCATGACTGTAATAGTGGAAACTGGAAACTGCATCTGGAACAGGGAGCTGCAATCTTCACCCTCGCAGCCTGGTGGCCCCACCAGGAGGTCGGCGGATTCCGGTTGAGCCATCTTGTCTCACAGGATATCGATGTTTTGATTCCCACCGCGCCCGAGTGAAGGAGGGGCGGGACGGGAGGAGTATAAAGAGGAGGAGGAGGAGGAGGATGAGGAGGAGGACGAGGAAGAAAAGCAGCAGGACGAGCAAGAGGTTGAGACTACAGGAGGGGGAAGATCAGAAGAAGGAAGAGAACTATAAGGGGGAGGGATGAGGGCGATGGCGTGGGTGCTGCTGTCCTGCGACACCGTCGTTGTCCGTTCCACCGCATCGGAGGGCAGGCTCCAAGATGAACCGCACAAAGTTTGAGACGCTGGTGACTATCCACGTGCACCAGAAGGACCTCTTCCAGGAGGTCTGGAAGAAGGTGAGGGAGCAGAAGGTGAAGGACCTGTCTGGGCTGGATGCATGGGGCGGGTCGCATGGAGGCGTCAGGGTGCCTTGATCCACCGAACGGCAGAGATCCACCGCACCATTGCTACACGCCCCCGCGCGCTCACGCGCGCACGCGTGCACACGCATTGCAACCATCGCAGCGCGCATGCATTCTTTTGGAACCGAGCGCCGTGCGCATGCGAACCTCCGACCCACCTGGGCTCGCCTCAGCGTAAAGGGGTGGTCGTGCACATCAGTCCTCCTCCTCCTTCTTCTCCTTGCTTTCCTCCTCCCCCTCCTCCTCCTCCTCCTCCTCCTCCTCCTCCTCCTCATTCTTGTTGTCCCCCTCCTCCTCCTCCTCCTCCTCCTCCTCCTCCTCCTTGTTGCCATCCTCCTCCCCCTCCCCCTCCTCCCCCTCCTCCTCCTCCTCCTCTCCTCCTCTCCTCCTCCTTTTCCTTGTTGCCCCCCTCCCCTCCTCCCCTCCTCCTCCTCCTCCTCTCCTCCCTCCTCCTCCTCTCTCTCCTCCTCCTCCCTCCTCCTCCTCCTCCTCCTCCTCTCCTCCTCCTCCTCCTCCTCCTCCTCCTCCTCCTCCCTCCTCCTCCTCCTCCTCCTCCTCCTCCTCCTTGGTCAGGGGCTGTCGTGCACAGCTGTGGCTTCTGGGGGGCCCCATTCGCGGTGCGCCTCGGCCGCTGCTGCTGCAGCGTGCTCCCGCGTCGGCCGCCGCCCTCCTCGCGGTGCGCCCCCTTGCGTTCCTCTCCGCGCGCCACCTGGCACTCTTGCAAGGAGGAGGAGGAGGAGGAGGAGGAGGAGGAGGAGGAGGAGGAGGGGGGGAGGAGGAGGGAAGGAGGAGGAGGAGGAGGGGAGGGGAGGAGGGGGAGGAGGAGGAGGGCAGGAGGGGAGGAGGAGGAGGAGGGGGAGGGGGAGGAGGGAAGGAGGAGGAGGAGGAGGAGGAGGAGGAGGAGGAGGAGGAGGAGAGGAGGTGGGAGGGGGAGGGGGAGGAGAGGGCAACAAGGAGGAGGAGGAGGAGGAGGAGGAGGAGGAGGGGGACAACAAGAATGAGGAGGAGGAGGAGGAGGAGGAGGAGGAGGAGGGGGAGGAGGAGGAGGAGGAGGAGGAGGAGGAGGAGGAGGAGGATGCACCTCGGCCTCGTGGGTCCTGCAACTGCGACCCCGTACTCTTGGAGAGTGTTTCTGTTTACCCTCTGGACCTTAGTGGGCCCCGCACTCTTGGAGAGCGTTTCTCCCCTGAGATCCGACGTTGGACAGAAACAAAAAAGTGCAACGCCAGGATCTCTGAGGGCCGCTCGCCCACGAGCTACGCTCTCGGGTCACGGCCTCGGGTCTCTGGCGGCCGCTCGGGGGGACTCCTGGGCATCCCCGGGACCTTCGGGGGCCCCGGAAACGGCAGGGCCGTTTTTGTCACCGTCTCCGAAAAGGTGTCCCTTGAAAATGGAAGCGGCAACAACAACGGCGACCGGAAACGGCAGCGGAAACGGCTCCAGGATTGGAGCCGGAGCGGGAACCCGTAAGAGAACGGCGACGGAGCCGGTAAAAAAACGGCGTCGGAACCGGCAAAAAAAACGGCGAAACGGAACCGGTAACAAAACGGCCTCGTCGTGTCCAGGGCCCACTAAGCTTGGTACAGGCACCTCGGCCTTGGAGGTCCTACAATTGCGACCCCGTACTTCTGGAGAGCGTTTTTGTTTATCCTCGGGGCCATGGCCCCTACCCTCCCCCCCCCATAACCTAGCGCTCCCTCCATCAGTGCGTTCCTGGCACTGTCGCAGTGCGTCCGGCACCACAGTCTGGGGAGGGGGGATGGGGGGCGCTTCGTTATGCCCCCTTCCGTTCGTGCCCCCCCATAGCGCCGGTATGGCTGCGAATGCGAAAATATTCTCTTGAGCTTCGGCAAGAAGAGGAGTTGGAAGCCCTAAATGGGTCCTGGAAGAATGGGAACGACGCCCAAGAGCAGATGCTGTCCAAAACGGACGGCGGCCACGGTTGGCCAGGCGGCTTTCTGTCTCCACTGGACGGCCCGCGGCGGCATCGACAATGAGCCCTGTCTACAGTGGACAGGAATGGATGTCAGCCTTCTCCCTCAGTCTTTCTGTACCCAATTCGGTCGTATCGTGAAGAGGGGCACGTGACAGGAGCGAACTTATGCTGTGAGGAAAAGGAGGGACAGGCGCGCGCAGGCAAGACAACGTGTGACAACATGTGGACTTGGGGGGTCGTCTCTTGGGCTCCGTGTGTTCGCATAGGGGCAATGCTAAGGCCTCTTCGGGTCATGGTACAGAGGGAGCGGGAAGAGAGGGATGACAAGGGCGAGGAGGAGGAAGAAGAGGCGCAGGGCAAGGAGGAGGGGGGAGGACAAGGAGCAGCAGAAGGAGAAGGATCATTCAAAGGAGAGGGGAAGCTGCCCCAAGCTGTCTTGGAGCAGTTTTGATATGATCCTGGGCAGTGTTGCGATTGTGTTGCTTGGTTTCTACTGGGCTTCTTTGCCTCGTGGTTTTTCTTGTGTCTCTGGAGGGGAGGGGGTGGGGCTTTTCGGGACCTCTTCTCGGCCTTGTTTGGAATTCTAATGGACGTCTGGGTCGTTTGGGGTCCACCTCGGGTGGCATCCTAGGCACGTCTTGGGTGGAGTCTTGGGACCGTCTTGGGGGGACTTTTTGGGGTCGTTCTTCGACCTTTCTTTGGGGCCGTCGCGGGCCAGTTTGGGGCCGACTTGGAGACGTCTGGGGCGACCTGAAGACCGTCTTAGCGTTTGTTGGAGTTGTTGTGGCTTCTTGGGTCCGAACGCACGCAGTGATACTTTTGTTATCCTCGCGAGGGCCTCGGAGAGGCTGTCGGAGGCTGCCTTGCGCCTCTTGGGCGGCTCCCCTTGTCTGGAGGCCGAATAACAATAGGTTATATCATTGCGACTACTACTAGTAATAATCGAAATCATCTCTTCTACCAAAAACTGGGCGTGAGGAAGTCCTTGCAGTGATGGGGTCCAGGGCGCCAGTCGGTTGTTTGTTCGCGACGTCGTGTCCGTCGGTACTTGTCATAGGGGCGGACTTCGGGGTGTAGGAGCTGAAGCGCAAAGAAACTTCGCTTTGGGAATGTATAGCGCGCCAGTTCGGCCCTCTCTTTCGCAAGTCCTCCATGGGAATTTGGTGAGTTGTGGTAGGTGGGCTGGAGTCTACTCCGTTGTTCTCGCTTTCCTTTCAGGAGAAAGAGGAGGAGACAGACGAGGAGAGGGGATAAACCGAGAGGATCGGAGAAAGGGAGGGGATGAGGATCAGGGGGAGGAAGAGGAGGGCAAGAGGACGAGCACGACTTCGAGTGGCTCAAGCAGACGCGTCTCTACTGGAAGAGCGAGACGGACCATGCAGTGATCTCGATCGCTGACGTCGATTTCGTGTACTCTTACGAGTACCTCGGCGTGAAGGATGGGCCACACATAGAAGAGGGAGATGCACGAGCAAAGCGTTGCACTCCAGTGCTCAATTCTTGCTCCGTCTCCCTCCGCTTGACATCTTCGCAACGTGCACTTTCGGGGCCAATTCCCGACTCTTTGTAGATATCGTGCAGGAGTGCGTGCTGGCTGGCTACGCGCTTGATGTTGCATGGAACTGTGGGGGGGCGAGTTTTGTGCGAATGGGGCAGGCGGTGTGCAAGGGGCTGCTTCAGTGTATGCAGTGTTTGACGAGCCAACCAGAGGACGGGCTTGCACGACACAGAGGCGTCGCCAACGTACGGGACCGTGCAAGGCACACCGGGCATGTGTGAATGGGTTTGTCATGGCCACGCGTTGCGACACGCTGTGGGTAAGACAATCACAGTCGATTCATGGCATCGTGTCTGCCCGATGCGCAGGAGCGCCTCGTCATTACTGCCCTCACGGACCGCTGCTACGTCACGCAATCGCAGGCGTTGTGCCTCCATCTGGCTGAGACAAGGGCGCATGTGCACACAAGCACGGCCTTCTGCATGCCGTTCAAGTGTATGGGGAGTACTGGCTCGTGCGCCTGCGCGCGGACGTGGACTACAGTCGGAGCGCGATCAGACAGGTGAGGATGTGAGGTTTAATGCGTGGGGGTTGAAGGTTGGTAAGGGGGTGGGGGAGGATGGGAAGAGGGAGGAAGAGAGGGGAGGAGGACCAGATTCTCAAGGGGCGGTTGATGCGTCTGTCTTTACTGGGAGATGCAGGTGTATGTATATATATATATATCTACACACTGGAAATTCATATTGATATACATATATCACCCCGTAGATCCGTATCCTCCTCCTCCTCCTCCTCCTCCTCCTCCTCCTCCTCCTCCTCCTCCTCTTACTGATTCGCATTTATCCTCGTCCTTGTCCTCCTCTTCATTATTCTCCCCTCAAACCTCATTCGTGTCCTCGCTTTCATCATCATACTTATCATCTTCAACACCCTCATCCTCATCCACCCCATCCTCAGCTTCGACCTGCTGCAGCATTTCTCTTATCCCGACCGTGTTCCTCCGCATCCTCCTGTAAGCCAGCTGCTGCAATATTGCGCTTATCCTCGCCATCGTTCTCCTGATCCTCACGCTCGTCCTCGTGGCCCTCATCCCCCCGCATCCTCCTGACCATCGCCCTCCTGATCCTCGCGCGTCTTCCTGCTGATCTTCACGTCGCCCCCATTCCCTCCTCTCCGTCCTCGTCCACACCTTCCTCCTGAATATCTTCCCCACCTTCTCCATATCCTCTGGATCATCGTCAGTTTTCTCATCGTTTTGCTGCTGGCCGTCGCGTCGCTACCCGGTTCATCCTCCTCCGTTGTCGTCGTCCTCCATGTTCTTCGCTCCGTGATCAATCCATACTTTCGCATCCCCCCTTTCCTCCCTTCTCTCCACCCTCATCCCTCCTCTCCCTCCTCATCCTCCTCATCCTCCCACCATCATTCTATCACTCCTCCACCCCCCTCTACATCGCTACATCGCTTGGCGGCCCTGCGTCTGTTGACGTGGCCGGCGTCCACCTCCCCCCCCTCCCCATCCTCCTCCTCCTCCTCCTCCTCCTCCTCCTCCCCCTCCTCCTCTTCCGTCTCCTGAATGGGAGGACTGGGACGAAGATGAAAGGACGCTGCGTGAGGGAGAAAAGTATACTACCAGAGAGCAGGTCTGCCGAGAACAAGAGCGGAAGGCGAAAGGAGCTGCATGGGCGGCCCAGGCAATCGGACAAATCAAAGCTGCTCAAATTCAGCTGGCAGAAGAAGGAGGCCCAAATAAGAAACCTCGCAATCAAAAAAACAGGTCTTGATCCAGGCGTCAAAGGAGGTGGCGAGGGCGCTGCTGGAAGGTATAAAATGGAATGGGGGAATGTTTACAGCCTTCAGCAAAGCAGGATCGGAAATGGCGGAGACCCTTCGCTGTGCAGAAGAAACTGACATCTTGCTCGAAACGTACATGGCCATGGACGTAAATGGCGAAGAAGCGCTGAAGGTGGGAAAACAGGAGTCGGAGGAGACAGAGAGAGAGAGAGAGAGAGATGCACGAGATGGGCGACTACAAGACGGCGAAGGAGAATGGCGAGCAGCAGCCAGTGTATCTCAAGGCGCTGACCTTCGTGGACCAGTGGGGCGACAACGTGCAGCTGTTCAACGTATGCCGGAGGGGCACTGGATGGGACGCGAAAAAGGGGAGGAGCTTGCTCCTGTGGGGTCGCATTCCCGAACAAGTTGTGGTGGAGAGAGGCCCCAGTCCCAACTCGAGGAGCGAGAAGTGACAGTTCTGGTGCAAAGTGGGGGAATCACTCAAAGGACGTGCTCCTGGCGAAATGGGTGGACAAAATGAAGAACACGTTTGGGCCAGACTGCGAGCAATGGCCAAAGATCGGGTGGGAGAGTAAGCTCTTCCTGTTCAAGAGCGGGCCATCGATGGTGGTGGTGCTCAAAGTGGGAACCGCATGGCAAGCGCTCGTTGCGGAAAGGCAGCCGCAGCAACCCGACGACGCCATAAAGGAGTTCCACTACGAGTTCGTCCACGCGCACTTAAAAAGATGAGCCCGAGGGATCTATTCGATGTGTTCCCGCTGTCTCTCCCGATGACGCACAACATCGAAGGCTGCGACCTCGTCGCGAGGTGCCCAGTGGACCAATGGGAGAGACAGTGGAAGAAGGCCTTTACAGCGCAGAGCTGGTGCGAGCTAGCGCTGAATATCGCGAAGAACGACGAGGAGCGCCTCCACAAAGTAATGAAAGTCGCCATGGGCGCGCTGGAGGAGGACAACATGGACCCAGTGGAAGTGGAGAGGCTGACGGAGCTCCAGAAGCTCAAGGACAGCACCCAGACCATGCTGGATGGCGCCGAGATCTTCGCGGAGAAGCTCGGCTACCCCAGGTCGGAGGAGACGACGACGGCCAGCTCGGGCGGCCACCAGTGAGTGCACCCGCTGGAGCTGGATGGCGCCGAGATCTTCGCGGAGAAGCTCGGCTACCCCAGGTCGGAGGAGACGACGACGGCCAGCTCGGGCGGCCACCAGTGAGTGCACCCGCTGGAGCCTGCAAATTGCTAAGAGAAAGCGTTCGCGAGGTTTCTCGGAGTGCTGATCTAGGCAAGTTGTGAGCCGGCCGTGCCCGCAGGCAGTCAGGAGAAGCCTTAGCAAGGTTTCTCGGAGTGCTACTCTTTCCATACCACATGGGCACAACAGTGCGCCTGCGCCGCCATCTTAATGGGAAGTATTTCTTGGAATACCTTCAGGTGCACATCCGCAGGGTGTGTGGGGGGGGCAACAATTGATCATCATGATGCCCACCTTGGTGCTCCTCATTGGCCCCACCTACGACCGTGATTCCCAGTGTGCTCTTACCTCGCACGCTCCGAGGGCACCCTTATAACTGGCATCACCTTGTCCCTGGTTTCTGAGGGCACATCCATAATATTGTCATCGCTTTGGGCTTGCCGATTTTGGGGACAATGGGTATGTGCGAGGCCGTTTAATCTTCCCGCTTCGAGGTGCGGCGAGCTTGCTGCGTGGTTGCGTTCGCTGGTTTCGGCTTGTTTCCCCTTGCTGTCTCGCTGTGCTCGGCTCGTGGCGTGCCTGGGTTTGGGTTGTCGGGGTTCCTCGTCGCCGCTCTCCAACTGTCGTTTGCATCATTGCGCCGCCCTGCGCCCTCACGGTCTCGTGGTTCCACCCTGGGGCCCTAAGCCCTGCGCGCCCGCACGCATCTAATTGCTGCGGAGGGGCTTGAAGCGTTGCGCGGGCAATATGTATCGCTTGTCGGAGAAGCTGGGCAATTGCACCCACGCGCAACTGCTACATCCGTTTCGCAAGCTGCTGCATCGCGCCAGCAGCTCTTGCAAATGCCACTGCACCTCTCCCCGCGCACCCATCTGGGTCAGACCCGCCCTGGCTCAAACCCCTCGCCTCTTCCTCCGATCCCTTCCTCTCCTCCAGCCCCCGTCGTGCCGTCTCCTGCCTGCGCCGCCTTCGCTGTGCACCTGCGCGGCGCGGGCTGGCTCGCTGCCCGCGAGCAGGCGGGCCGCAGCCTAGGACCGTACCTCCCTCGCCCCCCTCGTCGGCGGTGGCGCTGCACCTTCTTCTCTGGTCGGGGGCAGGCTAAATGACCCCTAATCAAACCGTCCCCTTCCTTGACGTTCCCTTCGCCCCGCCCCAAGACGGCAACGTGCGGCGCGGCCGGAGGGGAGCTCGAAGGGCGAGGACGACGTCACGGGAGGGGAAAGGTTTGCCAGGGCTCGGTTCGGCCGCGCCCGATCTGACCCCATCCATCCGTCGAAAGAAGACAGCCGGGCACGAGCACGGCGGAGGTCCGCGCGGATGTCTCGGCTCGGCCTCTTGGCGCCCCGGCGGCGCCGTCTTGCGCCAGCCCTGGCGCGCTCCGCGCGCCGCCCCGCGAGGGGGGTGGTTCTTTGCTGCTTGGGGCATGACGGGCGTCATGGCCCCCGCCCCCCCCCCCGTTCCCCCAGTGCGCTCTGGGCATTGCCGCCGTGTGCATCGGCATCCGCACAGGTGTCCGCACAGGAATCCGCACAGGAGTCTGGTCCGCAGTCGCCGTCGTCGTCGTCGTCGTCGCCGCCGCCGCCGCCGTCGTCGTCGTCGTCGTCGTCGTCGTGGTCGTCGTCGTCGCCGTCGTCGTCGTCGTCGTCGTCGCTTGTCGCTCGTTGCTCGTCGCTCATCGTCGTCGCGTGCGCCGACGCTGCTGAAGCCTGTTTTTTTTGATCAGAGTGATGGGGCCGAACGGTCATTCATTGTCCCTGGGTGCGTGGCTGAAGCGGGGGTCCGTGGTGAGTATTCTGCTTGTTGCGTTGTTGTTGTTTGTTTGTTTGTTTGTTTGTTTGTTTGTTTGTTTGTTTGTTTGTTTGTTTGCTGTCGTGACCCCACCCGCGACCCACCCGCGACCCACCCCGCGACCCACCCCGGGACCCAACCCGCGGCCCACCCCGCGAGCCTCCCGCGACCCAACCCGCGACCCACCCGCGACCCAACCCGCGACCCACCCGCGACCCACCCCGCGACCCAACCGCGACCAACCCGCGACCCACCCGCGACCCACCCCGCGACCCACCCGCGACCCACCCCGCCACCCATCCACGACCACCCGCGACCCACGCCCGACCAACTTGCGACCCACCCGCGACCCACCCCGCGACCCATCCGCAACCCACCCGCGACCCACCCGCGATCCACTTGCGACCCACCCGCGACCCACCCGCGACCCACCCACGACCCACCCGCGACCCACCCGGACCCACCCGCGACCCATCCGCGACCCACCCGCGACCCAGCCGCGACCCATTTGCGACCCACCCGCGACCCACCTGCGACCTACCTACATTGGTTTAACGAATAATCGGCGCCTGCGGCGAGCTCGTTGTACGTAGCACCCCGCAATTGCGGATAAGAGTGAGGGGGCGGGCGCGGGCGACGCGGGCGTCGAGCCGGCGGACCGCCGCAGGCGCCGAATGTTTGGTTTGTTCAGTGAACGTAGTTTGGGTCGCGGGTGGGTCGCGGGCTCTCCACCTCCACCTGGAAAGAATTAAAACAACAGCCCGCTGCAGGCGCCGAACATCTTGATTTGTACACTGAACGCGGT